AGAAATATGGAAAAACCACGGCCGTTTGAGCGGTCAAAGCGGCTTGAAGAGCTCAGAATGACCGATTTCTCAGGCTTTGTATTGGCGGGAGAATTTGCCTTCCGAAGTCGAAAGTCCTCCAGGCAAGATATATGTGGAAGAGTTTGTGTTAGGTAAATCGAACCCAATGGCCCAAGCCTCGGAAGAATTGTATCAGTGCAAGATATTGTATGATTTGTCCGGTTAGGAAGTTGTGAAAGGGTTGATAATCTTCCGCTCATGTCCAGGTAAAGGAACTGTGCCTTGTATTGTTGTCGCAATGGTGGACAATTCCTTTGGTGCATGTCGTCGTACCTGTGACAATCTCGAGGGAAAAAGGGATACATCGGTGAAGAGTTCCACTAGGCTGCGTATACCGATTGTGTTAGTGTGGGGAGGATTATACAGACAGCCAATTAAGAGATCGTGCTGTCCTCTACTGGTCTGAATCCAGACCGAGTCTTCCAGATTGCCGATTGAAAGTTCTTGGAATGATAGCGCACCAAAATCGTCACGCACGTAAATGAGGCATCCGCCACCACGGTGGTTGGTACGTCTATTACTGCAGGAGGTGTATCCCGGGATTCGCAGCTGTGGATCAGGAGTGTTAGCATCGTGCCACGTTTCTGTGATGAGCACCACCTGGGGGCCAGATAGGATAGGGACGGAATTGATAAGGTGCATCTTATGCTTGATAGACCTTGCGTTAAGGAGAAGTAGAGTGAGTGCCTCGTTGCAGGATTGAGCTGCATTATCAGAGACAGTAGTAATCTGAGTAGGTTGCGCGGGTGTAGTTGCTATTGTTCCAGAGGGGTTATAAGAGTATAAGATTACAGAGGTCAGACAAAATCTTACTGTCCGCGTTATCATAGAGCAGGTCGGGTTGTAGGTGCTGCTTGGTCACCATGCTGAAACGAAGCAGCGGAGATAGGTTTGGGAGTGTGGGGAAGGTTATTGGCGATGGCTAAAGTATTGGCAGAGATGTGTTGTACGCAACAGTAGAAGAAAACGATGGAGTACAGTGAGTGTGCAGCCCTGAGGAACATATTTCTGCCAGATGTGGGCTGGTTACTGCGGTGTCTGTATCGCATTCCAAAGCTGGGAGAGGGTTGATTGCATGTTTGTATGCAATGTTGAGTCTCCTGGTTTGGTAAGGTTACGTGTCTAACGGCTCATTCTTCTGCGCAGAAAGTTTTATACTGCCACTTAAGGAGGTTATTGTAGTATGAGCATTACCATTTTCGTAGACATGTAGGTCATGCAACAGATTATTGTCAGTTCTTGTGCAGGCTTGGGTTGGTGGAGATAAGACGGAGATGGGGAGGCTAATGTGGTCCCTAGGACGGTCCGAGGATGGATGGATGGAACACCGCAATGGGGGAAAGACTGGATCATCAGTGTTCTTTGCGTGCAAAAGCGGATCGCTATGTGAGAGCGTTGACTGCGGGCTAATGTGGGCAATTTTCACTTTCGTGGGAGAGCAGTGGGCAGCAAGGAATTGGGGAAGATGGAGTTGCGGTTATGAGATGAACGCTGCGCATATGTGTGATCATGGGATGGCAAAGTTTGGTACTGCAGAATATTGGCCATCGACATGCTAAGAGGAAGCTTGGGGATCGCTGGATCTACCCGAATGGCTGAAACCAGCGGTTTGGAGGGGGCTGTAATGAACATAGAAGATTTCGGAGATAAAGTAGTGCAGGTGCTAGCTCTTGGTGAATTGGGTGCGGTGCACCATACCCTGTAGTTTCCCAGAAAATGGACGGTGGTAAAGGGGCCGTGTTGTGTGCGGTTACGTCATGTAGATTCACGAACTGCGGCTGCCCAGATTTTGGGATGTGGTTGTTTATAGTGGCGCCTGCAGCTTTGGTACTCCTTGTACGATGGGGAGTACCGTAAGAATTGTGTCCAGAAATAGATGCTATCGAGCCTTGTGCGTTGGCCGATTGTTGGTAAGTCGGGGCGCGGGCTGCTAACTTGGGAGCTTCAAGTAAGTAACGGTTAACTCGTGGCTGTCGTAGTCTAGCCTTGTTCGCAGACCCCATCGACGACTAATATCTTGGGGAAGTGGGTTTTTCGGTTACCGTCTGCCTCGCCTGAGTCCAAGGGTTGGCGTTTACCATCCGGTGCTCATGTTCTTTCTTGTTGACGTTTTTGTAAAACTGTGTTATGTGGGTCCTGCGGATCTTTGCTTGGTTCGTTGTAGGTGTGGGCAGCAGGCACCTTTGGCGTGCATTGCAGGGTATATGCGGAATTCCGCAGGATGCTTCTGCAATGCTGCGTTCACCCCTGATGATAGGAGTAGTGGGCGAAGCGATAGACAGGATTGCTGGTTCCGTATCAGAATCGCACATATTAGAGTCACAGTTCGATAACGCTCTGAATGTTTTGTTTTCTGCAATTGTTGCAGTATCTCGTTCTGAGCCGGATTTAGAAGTATGCACTTTAGGGGAGACCTCCGGTCGTTGTGGTTGGGATGCATCTAGATCAACAGTGCACATTGGTGTAAAGCATGTGACATGTGATGCATCTTTAGTTTCGGGTCGGGTTTTTATTTTGGATGATGATGTATAGGTACGCGTCATCGATCTTTGTAAGTAGTCATATCTTCTCTGATCTGTAGAGCCCCGAAGTTAGCCTGTTGTTTGATGAGAAGGCTGGAGGCCAAGAAGGGTGTTGCAAACTCAGGACCTACAAATCTAAGTATGATAGGACAAGTACGGCCGGAAATCTTTCTTAATCGTTTAGCTGTGCAGCAATCTAGCGGCAGTTTGCAGACGTTTAGAAGCTTACGTAGCAAATTTTCAAGTGGTGACCGGTCCGGGACTTTGAATAGTATGGCGTTATTGGCGCGGCGCAAGCACTCTTTGGCCACTTGGGCAATCACATTAAGGAGTATACCAGCTTGTTTTAAGTCTGCTGAGTTTACTGGTTTTTGTATGCCCGATAGGTGTACTAGGGCATCACCTTCTTCAGGGTCTCATTGATGTTCAGTATGTCGCTTTTAGCTAATTCACTTGAGTTTCAAGTGTGTTAATTTTTAGCAACGCTTCAGTAAGAGGGTCATTGAGCATGACCTTGCATTCCTGAGAAGGAATGATAACAACTATGTCAGGTATTGATGAATTACTTATGACGTCTATATTACCAATCCCTGAGTTGGAACTATTGGCCACCATAATGGTGTCAATTTGGTCCATGGGTTGGACATCCCCCACGTCAGCTAAACCCGAGTTAACTTTAACAGTGGGAAAGGTAGTCGATTTCACTCATCGTTTGTTACGCCTCATAGCTGCGAGACGTTTAGGTACCATGGTACAGAAAAGTAGAGCACGATACCACAACGCTACAAAGGATGCCTTGGACAGAAAGTCCAAAGAAAACCCGATGTACGGTTATAAAATGGCGTTGTGATATAATTAAATATCACAAACGGTATGAAAGGGTTAATGAGAGCGATTTAGCAACACTGAATGGCCAACCAAAAATATTCGACTTATTCGAATTTTCCGAGAGGTGTCCTTATACGCGATTTGGCAGTATGTGCGGCACAACGACAACAACAGCAACAATGATTACTAGTAAATCTAGGGTTCGACTTTACTGATGACTTCGCCTTTACAGCCCATGCAGACATGCGTCGCCCTCCACCGTCCTAGTTACCGCTGCAACGGCGCATGCTCGCGCCTCCTGGTACTACCATATGCAGCATGAGTGATTCGAAACCACAGATAAGATTAGATTTCAATGATGACTCCGCTTTCAAGCCTAAGTAGACGTGCGCGGCCGTCCGGGTTACCGCCGAAACTGC